ACACAGACACACACAGACACACACACACATATGTCTACTGTTGCTGGAAACCAAAGTCATATTAGTTTATTTTTATTTATTTATTTATTTTTAGTTGTTGGATGGGCAAGAAGACAGAGACAGAGAAATCTCCCATCTAATGATTCACTCCTCAAATGCCTGCAGCAGCTGGGAATGGTTCATGCTGAAGCCAGGAGCTGGGAACCCAGTTGAGTTCTCCCCTATGGTGGCTGTGACCCAACTATTTGAGCCTACATCTACTGCTTTCAAGGATGCACAATAACAGGAAACTGGTGTGGGAAGCAGAGCTGAGACTTGAATTCAGACACCCTGATGTGGGATCTGGGTGTCCCAAGTGTCAACCCAATGCAATGGCAAATGCTGTCCCTAGTAACAATTTTTCTTCAAAACTCAAAATAATTCTGACTATTCAAAGCCCACTGAGTAAACTAAGTAACTATTCTGTATCCCAGACTTTCTTTTTTTATAATTTTTTTTATTTAGTAAATGTAAATTTCCAAAGTACAGTTTATGGATTACAATGCCCCCCCCCCATAATTTCTCTCCCACTCGCACCCCTCCCATCTCCCGCTCCCTCTCCCATTCCACTCACATCAAGGTTCATTTTCAATTATCTTTATATACAGAAGATCGATTTAGTATATATTAAGTAAAGATTTCATCAGTTTGCACCCACACAGAAACACAAAGTGTAAAATACTGTTTCAGTACTAGTGACAGCATTACTTCACATTGGACAACACATTAAGGACAGATCCCACATGAGGAGTAAGTACACAGTGACTCCTGTTGTTGACTTAACAATTTGACACTCTTGTTTATGGCATCAGTAATCTCCCCAGGCTCTAGTCATGAGTTGCCAAGGCTATGGAAGCCTTTTGAGTTCGCTGACTTCGATCTTGTTCTGACAGGGTCATAGTCAAAGTGGAAGTTCTGTCTTCCCTTCAGAGAAAGGTACCTCCTTCTTTGATGGCCCCATTCTTTCCACTGGGATCTCACTCGCAAAGATCTTTCATTTAGGTCTTCTTCTTTTTTTTTTTTTTTTTTTTTTCCCCAGAGTGTCTTGGCTTTCCATGCCTAAAATACTCTCATGGGCTCTTCAGCCAGATCCAAATGCCTTAAGGGCTGATTCTGAGGCCACAGTGCTGTTTAGGACATCTGCCGTTCTATGAATCTGCTGTGTATCCCACTTCCCATGATGGATCGTTCTCTCCCTTTTTGATTCTATCAGTTAGTATTAGCAGACACTAGTCTTGTTTGTGTGATCCCTTTGACTCTTAGACTTATCAGTGTGATCAATTGTGAACTGAAATTGATCACTTGGACTAGTGAGATGGTATTGGTACATACCATCTTGATGGGATTGTATTGGAATCCCCTGGCACATTTCTAACTCCACCCTTTGGGGCAAGTCCAATTGAGCATGTCCCAAATTGTACATCTCCTCCCTCTCTTATTCCCACTCTTATATTTAACAGGGATCACTTTTCACTTAAAATTTAAACACCTAAGAATAATTGTGTGTTAATTACAGAGTTCAACCAACAGTGCTAGAACAAAAAAAAATTCTAAAATGGATAAAGTATTACATTGTACATCAACAGTCAGGACAAGAGCTGATCAAGTCACTGTTTCTCATAGTGTCCATTTCACTTCAACAGGTTTCCCCTTTGGTGCTCAGTTAGTTGTCGCCGATCAGGGAGAACATATGATATTTGTCCCTTTGGGACATTTTTATATTGGTTTTTAACCTACCTTAGATGAAAAACTTCCCCAAATTATAGTGATCATTGTGTATGGCTCTTGACATTTGCCTTCCACTAATTCTGATTGCATGAGAGTGACATTTCTGAATATACTCTGATAAGTGTGTATAAAATGGAATTAAAAACAAGCTTATTTTAATGTAAAAATCCTTTGGAGAGCATGCATAGTTTTTTCATAATTTTTTTCATTTTTGAAGGAAGTTTGAGTTCACAGTAAGAGTAGACAGGTGATCTTAGATCTTGAGAAAGATCTTCTTAAGTCTTTCTCACCCATAACCCCCTCTCCTACCATGATTCTAGGCAGCACAGATACACATATGAAAGATGATTTCATATATTGTCATACATTTTATACTTGATTTTACTCTGTTTGATTAAACAAGCAATGGCCTGTGTTTATGTGTTCCCCTGGTTCATTATACAGTTTTAAATAAGTATCAGTGCTATATTAAAAGACAGAAGAGGCAAGGGCTGGATAAGAGAATCTAAGAACAGCAAATAGTGCAACAGGTAAGAAGGAGGGGGAAAGATTTAGTAGACAAAAATGATAGCCTGTAAATACTAAAATGTCAGAGGAATAAGCCAATATCTTGGTCTGAGAGATCAAGTAGAACTAAATGGAAAAATTTTAATGTAGAATCAAAGTGGAACTTACTGAGACCAAGCTATAGAAAACAGGCAAAAATTATTTTAACCAGGCTTGATTGAATAAACTGTTATCAAGTATAGGCAAAACAAACAAAATAAGCATTCTAAGCTATGAAGCAGATAGATTCACATAAATCATAGCCAGAGAACTTGTAGTGCTTTCAGTTCTAGGACAGAATGTGCATCCTGTGTCTTGATTATAGTTCCTATTTTTTATAGTAGTGAATTGATGACTGGAAGATATAACCAACTTCTCAGAATTAGAGCAGGTTCCTGTTTGTTTATAAGCACTATAATTCCTGGGTAGTCCTAAGAGAGTTCTAACACAGAGAATTGCAAAGAACTACTGTAAAAAGGATGAGGGATAACAAAATGGAAACATCATACCGTGTATGAATTGTTCACACAGCAGGTGCCATTCCTCATTGTGGCAAGACTCTATTTAACTTTTTTCAATGATTAATTGTTAGATTGAAAAAGAGAACAACTCAAATTCCTTTAAATGTCTCATATATTTAGCTAAGGGGAAAAATCCAATTTTTCACAACTATGTTTTGGCCACATAAATAAATAAAACAAATAAATAAAACAAGAATATCATTCAATGCATAAAGTCATGAAAGTATAGGACAGCATGCGTGGGAATTTCAATGGCAACAGGGTCCTGATAAGTAAATAATGATTGATCTGTACAAGATGGGTTTTAGTAAAAACAGTGACATTAGGGATGGAGCAAAGGGCCTTTTGGAAAGATCTTTTAAAGGTAGTTTGATAAAACTTGGTAAACAATTGTGGTAGGATTTGGAAGCAGTGTTAATGAAAGCATGAAAGGTGGCCTGATGTTTTCTCAGATTTTGTCCGGAGTGTAAGGATAATCATTGCAATTGTCAGTCCAAGAGAATGGATATTTGGGAATGGTAGAATCAGAAACCTCACTTGAAAGAGATAAGGAAAGTTTAAAAATGTTAATGCGCTGACTAGGCAAAAAGCTGAGAAATCTAGATCCATCAAGTAATTTGAAGTGGAATTTAAGAACTTGGCACGTGTAGAAATAGTACTGGGACAGAAGAGTGATTGGACCAGTGAATAAAGGATCAAAGTAAGGCTGAAAAACCTTACAGTTTGATTTAAACCAAGAACTGCAGCTGAACATAGAATAAACAACAGACTTGAGTAACAGCAATGAAGAGAGGGGAAATCCAAAGGGTAGAATAAAACAGGAGATACATTTGCTGAACAGATAGGCAGGAGCAAAGCATTCCATGGGAAATAAAAAGACTGGGCAAAATAGCTATGGTCCAGATTCATCAAAGGATAAACAAGCGTAAACAGGTTTCAAGCAGGTATAATTGAAAATACTGCTGGAGGATAAGGCTTCAAAATAAGATAAGGCTGTTTTCAACTCACTACAGTGATATTTATATTTCATACAAGTGAAATGCATTTCTATGCTAGAATAATAGCTGCCTTACTTTATGGCTATGAACAGTGAAACAACCAAATTAATGAAATTGCTATCTTCCTCTCTTCCTCTCTCCCTGCCTTCCCTTTGTCTTCCCCTCTTTTCCTTTTCCCTATCCTTTTCCCTTTCTCTTCCCCTTTCACGTTTCTTTCTTTTTCCTCTCCTTCCCCTTCCTGTCCCTTCCTTTTCCTCCCTCACTCCCTCCCTCCTTCACTCTCACTCCTTTCTTTCTTTTTTTTTTTTTTTTTTTGCCTTTCTTCCTTCTTTTCTCTTGTCTGTATTGCAACATAAAGATCTGATGAGATTGGTCAGGAAAATATCACTTGAGACAGTATAGGTGATATTTTTAAGTCCAAGTATTGCGCAGTGTAGCAAAACAAAAACAAAAACAAAACAAAACAAAACAAAACAAAAAAACCACCCTCATATGTTCCATAAATGGTAAATGATTTCTTCCACAAGTGAGTAAAACTGAAAATGAAATTTATCTAATTTTAATTCTCTATTGGACACATTGCACTATAAGTGATGTGGTCTCTTTAAATTTTTGAAGACAATTGGATGACTAGCAATAAACTGTAAAAATGATTCAAATCTCAAACATTGAGCTGGAAGCAAATACAAATAGGAATAACATTGTCAATGTGCACCTTTTAACCTATATGCTTTCTGTATCTTTTATGTCCAAGTGTTAAAGTTGGAACTAATCTTCTGGGCTTTTGTTTGTTTGGTTTGTTTGTTTGTTTGTTTTTTGCTTGGTGATTTTTCACCAAGTTGAAATCATTTGCTTCTTTCTTGCAAAAGTTGAACCTAAGTTTTTTTTTTTTTTTTAATGTAAAATGCAAAGCCTAGTAAAGACATTTGATATAATATTCTCTGGTACTATACAATAAAACAATTAGTATTTTACTTTTTCCTATTTCTTCTATATCGCCTTACAGTTTTTGTTATAGCATTATTTTGAGACATACCATTATTTGTAAATTATTAAAATTCTTTCAACTGAAATGTTTGTGCAGTTCTAGCTCCCAGAACTGAACCTCATATCAGAAGGTAACTTTTGGTAAAGCCTGTTTGGTTGAAACACATTGTTGTTACTTTAGGTGCTGACTGTTCTTATGCTGAGTTTCCAATTGCCTCGATTAAAGTAGAAACATTCTATGGCTTGGATGACTTACATTTCAAATTGGTTTGAGCAAGATGATTGGTATGAAGGACTACAAAGAGTAAGATATATTTACCTTGTTGTCATGATTTTCTGTGATTATTTTTCTGCTTTGCTTCTCAAACAGATGTATTTCTGTATTATTGATGTTGTGGACATTTTCTGATTTTAAAGCAGAGGTTTTTAGAATATAATTTATTAGGATAATTATATATTGGAAAAAAGATCTTTTTATCCTGATTTCAAATAAATTCTTAATATTTTCAGATTTTCTTTAGAAATACAAAATCACTTATATATATTGAGATTAATGTGGAAATATCAATAATTTTAAGAAAGCCATTTTACATAAAGAATAATATTTAATGAAATAGAAGCTAACCGTAAGATAACACCATGTATTACAATAATGTAATATAGTGCTAAAATTTTGAAGAGAGCCATGTTACATCTGATACATTTTTCACTTTTAAGCAATTATTTTTCAAAAAGAATTGCATCGTTACCATGGCAACTATTCCATAGTATTTTGAAAAGAGGTTTTCTGACCTATTATTGTAATAGTAGAAAAATTATTTAAAAACTCACTATATCAAGATGGATTTAGTTTAGAATAATATGATATGCTCTGATTATTTTCACCTTTTCAATGGTTGATTTCATAATTGAAGTAAAGACAATTCTGGATTTTTCTTTTCATTAATTACTGGAACAGAAGAGCCAGAATAACTGTGTGATTTGACTAGATTCTCGCCATTGTTATTCCAGAGCATATGCTGCTAAAGATGTGCAGCACTTTATGTTTCTTCCTTCCTGCTTCTTCAAATTCCTAATCTGTTCACATCAATTACAGATATTTTTCTAGGATTCTACATTTTAATTATAAATCTGCAGCAGTGGAAAACCTTTGGGAGTTTTTCAGGTACTTTTGTTAAAGCTGTGAATCAGGCTGGTAAACTTGTCTGGAGCCAGTAAACATCTAACTGGGCAATAAAACTCATATTGTGAATCCTAAAGCATTCTTTAGAAAAGAGGTTATGAAGTACTGAGTAACTTTCATCCAGAACCCCAACTTCATCCGCAAATGATGGAAATATTCCGTTTTATAAGTTTAATAAATCCAAACCCCACTGAACACACACACACACACACACACATATACACACACACCCCAATGTTAGTATCCTTTGTTTTGTGTGAGTGCAATTTATAGGTAGTAGCAAGTTCATTACAGATATTTTTAAACACAAGAATTGTTTTCCATTTCTCCACAGAAAGGGCATAAATGATAGTGTAATTCTGGGGGTTAGGGGACTAATTTTAAGAAAGATACTTTTTACTAAAATATGTGTTTCTTTAATGTGACTTTTAAATGGGTCATGATGAAGATTATTAGTATTCAGAATCTTTTTTTTAAAAAGATTTATTTTATTTAATTGAAAGAGTTACAGAGAGAGGTAGAGACAGAGAGAGAGGTCTTCCATCTGCTGTTTCACTCCTCAGATGGCCACAACAGCCAGAGCTGCGCTGAGCTGAAGCCAGGAGCCAGGAGCTTCTTCCAGGTCTCCCACATGGGTGGAGGGGCCCAAGGACTTGGGCCATCCTCTGCTGCTATCCCAGGCCACAGCAGAAAGCTGGATCGGAAGAGGAGCAGATGGGCCTTATGGTGTCCTTATGGCATGCCAGCACTTCAGGCCAGGGCTTTAACCCATTGCGCTACAGCGCTGGCCCCAGTATTCAGAATCTTACCATCTTTGACCTTTACCACAACTATTGGCCTTTGTTAATGAATTCCTTATTCTGAGTCCAATTTAATAAGTAGCTTTTCTTCAATACAGAAATAAATTGACTCTACAATACCCTGTTATCTTTTTGAGTTTCAGTTCCTTCTGGCTTAAGTTTGGATCAATTTTCATACAGACATAGACAAGAACAGAAGATTCTGTTCTAAACAAAGAAAACTGGCACCTGGATATTGACTTTAATTTGTTCTGAAGTTCCAGTTTTTTGTTTTTCCACTTATGTATGTATGCATATATATCACATTCCATGTAATCAGCATTCACCAAAACAAAATTTTCAATATTTCTTATTATATGTTTGCCAAAAAACATATAATGGATTTTTAGTTAAAAATTATAAATTATAAATGTAGCATGTGTAAAAGCATGAGTATGAATTTGTTAATAGAACAGTTACTATTTGTGTTTAACATCTGAACATCCACAGAATATGTTTGTATGTATGCAAACAGGCACATATTTTAGCTTGATGATTTTAATTTACTTGTGTAATTTTTATTTTTTTGCAATATTGTAACTATATCATCTGTGTTTTGAATTTCATTATGTTTAATTCATATCATAATAATCTTGTATATTCAAAAGTGAGTTTTATTTGTGCAAGACTAATGTTGATATACTCACAGCATTTGTCATTTATACTTCATTCGCTTACTGAGAACACCTTTTTACTATTTATTCCTTATTGAGCCTGAGAAGAAACCTAGAATAATTATTGTATGTGTATAGTTTGTGTGATATGAGATTCAAATAACAAATAGAATTTAGGTTAAAAAATAACAGTATATGCCCGAAAAGACTATAGTTGCCAGGCTGATAACATGGATATGAGGTGGCACAAAGCTCAGACTTTCTTCCTGAATTCATTCTACACCTCCATTATTCAGTGAGCTGCAATGTTTAGTACTTCATCTCTAAAGTGTATCTAGTGTTTCTAGACCAAAAATATTGTGTTTTCCGAAATAACAGATACTTGCAAAATATGTGAAAATTCTTATGTGGCTCACATAAAATTGAAATATGTTCTGAGGTAAAAATAATAGATAATATTTATCTGAAATATATTGTCTGTTACAATCTAATATATTTACTTATCTTTATAGGTGACATATTTTGTAGAATTTATATTTAAAATATAAATATATGATTTGAAATGGGCATTTCGTGGAGTATTCTATTTTCAGTAATGCATTTCATTCTGTGACCATTCATAATGACTACAAAGATAGCAAAAAACATCTGGGCATTCCATTTCATCTCCTTGACAACAGTAGATATCACTTAATAAAGGCTATATACATAAGTATTACATGTATTGATAATCCTTTTACAGAATTTTGTGGAAGTTTAAAATAGTACCAGGTGTTTGATTACATAGTTAAAAATTATTTTTAAAAATTTATTTATTTATTTGAAAGTCAGTTACTTACATAGAGAGAGAAGGAGAGGCAGAGAGAGAGAGAGAGGTCTTCCGTCCACTGTTTCACTCCCCAGTTAACCTCAACGGCCGGCACTGTGCCAATCCAAAGCCAGAAGCCAGGAACTTCTTCCTGGTCTCCTATGCAGGTGCAAGGGCCCAAGGACTTTGGGCCATCTTCCACTGCTTTCCCAGGCCACAACAGAGAGTTGATTGGAAGTGGAGCAGCCAGCATTGTAGGCAGCGGCTTCACCCAATATGCCACAGCACCAGCTCCGTAGTTAAAAATTTTATATGCAATGATGTTTATATAGTCAATATGTTTCTTTCTTTTTAAATAAGATTTATTTACTTTTATTTATTTGAAAGGCAGAGTTACAAAGAGGGAGAGACACAGAGAGAGATCTTGCATCCACTGATTCACTCTCCAAATGGCTGCAATGTTTGGGGCTGTGCCAGGTCAAAGCCAGGAGCCAGGAGTTACTTCCAGATTTCTCACTTGGGTGCAGGGGCCCAAGCACTTGGGCCATCTTCTACTGCTTCCCCAGGTGCATCACCAGGGAGCTGTATCAGAGGAGGAGCAGCAGGGTCTGGAACGGGCGGCCATATGGGATGCTGGTGTAGCAAGCAGCAGCTCAACCCACTACGCTGCAATGCCAGTCCCAATGTGTTTCTTATATTTCATCCATAATCATATATTTTAAAAATAAATTGCTATTGTTTGTCCTATTATTCCTTTTTAAATGTTTATGTATTAATTTTCATCTATTTAAAAGGCAGAGTGACAGAGAGAAAGATCTTCCATTTGCCGGTGGTTTACTCCCTAATTACCAGCAATAGCAGGAGCTGAGCCAGACTGATGCCAGGATCCAGGAGCTCTATCAGAATTTCCCTTGTTAGTAGCAGAGACTCAAAGACTTGATCCATCATCTGCTGCCTCCCCGGTGCATTAGCAGTAAGCTGCATTGAAAGCAAAGGCGAGACTCGATTCTAGGTGCTCCAGTATAACCCACTGCACCAGAAGCCTTTATTGGTTTAATGAATGGCTTAGACAAGTTATTTTTTACTTATTATCTCCTAGTTTAATGGATGACTTAAAAGCAGTTATTCAATTCTGCATTTTAAAAGGATATAAGTTTCTGGACTGTAAGACCTGTAAAAACTCTTTAAGAACAAAAGCATACACCAAATTTTATGTCAACACAAAAGTGCTTATATTACCTAATTTTAGAAACTTAAAACATATGAAATAAAGATATACTGATAATTAAAATATATTGCACAGATATAGAAGCATTCTGTTTTTAATGAATAAAACATTAGCAGAATGTGGCTGAGGCTGACATTTAGTCTAACAGTTAAAAGAGTCAGTTGAGATGTTTAGATCTCATGTAGTTATGCCTGGATTTAATTCTCAGTACCAGCTCCTGACTTGAGCTCCCTGATAATACAGATCCTGGGAGGTAGTAGTGATTGTCCAAGTAATTGGTTCTCTACCATCCACTTGGGACACATGGTTTGAGTTCCCAACTCCTGGCTTTGGCCGGGCCTCCTGGGCCAGTGCTTTGAGAACGTTTAAGGCATGAACCAGTAAATGGGAGTTCTCTCTCTATCAATCATATTTCTCTCTCTTTCTTTCTATCTCTCTCTCTCATCTCTCTCTCTCTCTCTGTATCTTTCTCTCTCATATCTATCATTTATCTATTAATTAATTTGTTAATAATTAAATGTTAAGAGAAGGACTTCTAGTTTCCAGTGTAGCATGTAAGGTGCTTAGGAGTTACCATTCCATACTACCAAGTAAAAAGCTGAACAAATTGAAAAATAAACACTTCTTATATC